TTTGGATGATTTCAGCTCTGGTTTTTGAAACATGAGAACTCTTATGTAGAGAAGGAATCATATTTTAAACAAAAAATATTATTATATATATATATATATATATATATATATATATATATATATATATTTGCAGAGAGGGTTTGATTAGCCGTCCTGACAGGAGGCTTTTATTATATATGGGAACGAATATGATTATGCTGACAAAAATCCAATACCCACTGGTTGAAATTATACAAAGTTTCTCACGAGAGATAAAGGAACGTTTAAAAATAAATTTAATATTTAAAAATCTGTGACGCTCGCTGTATCGAGATACACAAACAAGTTCATTTCATTCTGCTTTCTACGTGGTTTGTGTGTGTTGATTATATGTAGAAACAATTCTGCGGTATATCTCCCATTCCGGCAGGCTATTTTTAACCTTTGAGCTAATAACTACAAGTAAATCACACAAGTGTAGAACTGTTTTAAGTAGTAAATGCATTCTTTCCTGTTTTCTAAGCACTGCGAATTAATCCACCAGCCGATTTTTGGCTTCCCCATTACATCGCTAAAATCATGAACTGTTTGAGAAAGCGATTTTGAAATGTCATTCCGTTTGTTCTTGGAAAACATACACACACACACACACACATACACACAAGGACGCACGCGTACAAATAAAGTAGGGGGAATGAGAGATCTTAACTTCCACGGGAAAATAATGTAATCCAAAGAATTTCCGAAATACGAACACTTCAGACAAAGAATTTAAGTGTTGGTCTTACGCGCTAAGATGTCTACATCTCAGGTTGTGTACTTTATAAATGCTGAAGTTTTAATAAGGCGAAAATCCGCTTGGAGGAAAAATAAGACTGTTTGGCTCCAAAAGAATGAAAAACTACATCATCATCGTCATCATCATCATTTTCATCATGACTATGATCATCATCGTCAATAAAAGCATTAAAACAACAATAATTCCAATAATAATAATAATAATAATAATGACAATAATAATATGCAGAAACAATACACATAGACAAAACAATCAAACCTAATTCCCTGAGATCGTGATGAGAGACAGCAAAGACAAAATGTGCCTCCGTATGTTTGAAGATCTTCAAAAAATTATCAACTATAAAAAAACCTTGAAATCGAAATCTCAAAAATATGGCACATGAGGACATCAACAATTCCAGTTGTAGTTGGAGCCCTCCCGATTTATTGGAAAAGTTTCCTATAGACATATTGAAAGGATTCCTAATAACCCAAGCCTTAAAGAAATACAACAAATTGTACTCACAAGTTTAGCATACATCATGAAGGGCTTTATCTATGTAAAATATGTGTGTTGTTAGGGTTTTTGGGGTTTTTTTTAATGCTCAGTGTAAAATGTCACGATACCATTTCTGAACTTGGGTCTCTGGTTGGGACCCGGAAAGAAATGGCCCTATTAGTCAGATCCCATATACTAAGAAAAGTGCTATCAATTAAATGACAATTCTCCTATAGGGCCTAAGGATCATAGTTTGGAGCCGACTCTACAAGATACAAAGCAGGAAACATAACATACACAAATAATAATAATAGTTGTGAGAGCACTATTGGGACATATGAAAAATCTTCAAATAAAAAAACACGCTGCTCATCGTGTAGTTCAACAGAGAACGCGCCCTGCAGAGGAGGAGACATGGTGATGTCGGAAGAATAGCCAGTGGATTTATTCCGAAACAAAAGCTTGATAGTTCACCTTTACCTCTGTTTGACGGGGTCAACAATAATCAGAGGTCAATAGAAGTGAAAGACGTAAATGGACAATAGAAGAAGATAAAGAAGTAATATAATGTTTGTATATTACACAAAAAAAAAAAAAACACGAGGAAAACCATACTAAATATACCTACCAGATGTGACGTGAAAGAAATGAGGACAAGAGAAAAAGGGTGTTCCAATAACTTGGACCGATGTTAAATGTGAATTATGTTTAAACGTCTTTTAATTTTAGATTTAAGAACTTAAGTCCTTTGGCAATTGCAGCCATGGAAAGAGTAAGAATCTAACAACGTGTTAAATTTATCGAAGCCTATTACGAAAATGGACGTTCAAACAGAAATGCATTTCGCCCACTTGGTGATTTTTTTGGTCAACATAATCGACCAACCGAGAATGCAATTGGAAACGATGTAACGTTGTTGTGGAGAGGTTCAATTCCTGCGCGCGATGACGAATATAGGTGTCTGTATATTCAGCTACATTCTCGTGCACTGCAGCAATGTTTTCAGCTGAACGACGTAAACGAGCAGGCAATAGTATTTTCACGTCTGCCATCGACCAAGTTAGTTTGAATTTACAAACAATTTTTCCAATTGCATTCTCCCTTGGTCGATTATGTTGACCAAAAAATTAGAAATTTTCTTTTAAGACCTTCAAAATAAACATGAAAAAAAAAATCAAAGTATTGAAAATATTTTAATAGACACTAATATTAAAATATGTATTTTTTTATTATCGGCTTATATTGTAAAATTTATCTATATAAATTATCTATTATAAAAGTTCATTTCTTTTGAATACTTCCATAACGTAATACTTGACGAACAAAATAGTTACCCATTTTCCATTTTTAAATTTTATATTTTTTTTTAATTAATCGATAATGGTAAAAATCAGTGGTCAATTACTATTATTAAAATGGAAGGATATGTTACCGCACTAACTGACTATTATTTATACACTACTCGAATTTTGGTATAAAAATTTTTTACCACACTAATCGAAAACGCATTCATCAAATGCCCAATAATCGAGGAATTCTTGTACTTAGATTCCATTAGTGATATGGCCATGGTAATCTCCATCTTCTTCAGCTTCTTTTCTGAAGACGAAAGTTAACAAGTCTCAGGCTACTCCATGTTTATTTCCGGCACAGATGTTCATATGATCTAATTACTTTTATTCCTCTAGTTCAGGTTTTTACGACAAGAACAATCCATGCCAACATCCACATAAACAAAAACACCCTAATATCCCCAGCTCCGCAAGTTCCCACCCGAGAGTTTTTTTGCTGCAGGACCTGTCAATCCGGGGAACAAACGCCCATCTTAATGCTTCTCTGAAATCTACACACTTATATTCTTCAATCAAGTGTCAATCTGTTTTATACCTTTGTCTATCTTCGTTATCCTCATCATCTTTATTTCTAGTTACCCCTATCATATATTTATACATCACATCTGATTTATGATAAACGCTAACGGCTCTCGGGATTTTGTGTGTGCTATCGGGCAAAATTTCATTGATAGATATGCATTTGATTGAAGGATATGCTTGTCAAATACACGGATACAGCATTTAACATTTTAGGCAGAGCACAGTCAGCCAATATTGGTAGCAGTGTATATAAAATTGCATCACTTTGTAGAGAGAAATACAATTTTGTTCATTCTCAGTTTCCGTTAGCGAGGCTGTGAGCAAGATTTTTTTTTCCATTTTCTACTCACTTGGAAACAATATATTTTGGTTTGTTGCCATATTCCTTTTTATACATCTCACTTCTCATCGTGATTTCACATTTAACACTATTGTATATACTTGGGTTTAGCTGTGTTGTTTAATTTTGTTTACCTAAGGAGTCGACAAAGTCTCCCTTAAAGAATGCGTTTTTCTATATTTAAGGCAATACACACACACACACACATATATACACATACATGTGTGACATCCATAGACAGACTGTTTTGCTGTTTCACAGTTCATCTGTGTGGCTAGACATCTGATTGCCTCTAGCCGGGATCGAAACCCGACTGATTTGGTATTAGTCGGAGATTTTACACCTAAGCCTGAGATAAGATTTATTTTTTGCCAAACACGCCAGTAACTGGACAACACGATTTTTCTTAAGGATGAGTCTTGCATCAGCAGCAGTAATAATCACTGTTTACAAATTCACTATTCTCCCCGAAGAGAATAATAATTATTTATATATATATATATATATATATATATATATATATATATATATATATAGTTGAATAGATATGAGTTTGTGACAAAATCATATACATTGAACTAAATATCTTAGCTGTATCACTGATATTGAGCGCTTTCCAATATGCATCGCACATATATAAAATATATATAGGAATTTTATATATATATATATATATATATATATATATATATAAAGAAATGGACAAAGTCCGACAATTTATTTATTAAAGACATTTTATGTTTAACGTTCTTTTTATAGATACAAGTATTTATAAATGTTTGTTTTATAATAAACAGTATTAAATAGATTTACCGCCTGAATGTCCGAGAAATTTTCAAAGGACGAATATTTTCTATGAAAGTTTCTCAGACATTCAGGCTGGTAAATGTTATTTAATACTGTTTATTATAAACAGAGCATTTACTTAAATACTTGTATCTATAAAAAGTACGTTAAACATAAAATGTCTTTATATATATATATATATATATATATATATATATATATATATATATATATATATATATATATTATTATGAATGATGAAATATAATTTTAAAGTATGCTATATTTATCGGTTAAAGGCTATCAGAGATAGAGTGGATGGAAATATAAAAGTGGACATTGGTATCAACACCTAGAGGCGACAATCTATGCTTTATGCTTAAACGCAATCTATCGTCAGACGATATATATATATATATCTATATATATATATATATATATATATAGATAGAGAGAGAGAGAGAGAGAGAGAGAAAGAAAGAGTGAGAGAGAGAGAAAGTCGATGACAGTGTGTAATTCCATTTTAAATCCGATCTCTTATCTCCACCGACAGAGACGACCATTTTCCGGCCCTTGGCGAAAATACAGTTCGCTAGATTTAGATAACTGACAACGGCTACAGTCGTGTAGAAAAGCCATTTAATTATAGATTTACATCATCTTTAACTATGGTTAACAATTATTTCTCTCGTCTAGCGAGCCGCCGGTCAGATTCTGCCCAACATATTTTCTGAGATTATCAATGAAACGTTTCGTCGGCTTCTCGGCGACTAATTATGAGATCACTGATCAGTTAGGACCAGGTTATCTGGCCCATGGTGTTAAGCGTGTTCCAAGCTTCGCTCGTGGTCTTCACCCATTATCAACTCCCGGGACAGGAGGTTTAATGATATACGATACCAAGACGGATTTGAAAAGGGTAGAGTAGTAGAATTACGCGAATCTAGAAAGGCAGATCTGCGAATTCCTCACTTATTTATTTTTGATTCGTAAGTAAATAAAAATAGATAGATGTTTTTTTTTTTATTTTCACCACAAAATCCTTTAGAAAAAGTTGGGTTACATTCATGCCAGTAATCACTGGAGAACCGGGAAAAGGTTCGTTATATTTGGAAAGAGAAAGGAACGGTTCGACCAGGATGGGTAATTTTTTCAAACGGTGGGTCACATTCAGACGACCCAACGTTCGGTCTGTTCATCCATCTATCTATCTATCTATCTATCTATCTATCTATCTATCTATCTATCTATTTCGCTCTGTTTTTAATATCTATCTATCTATCTTGGTCTGTTCATATCTATCTATCTATCTATCTATCTATCTATCTATCTATCTCGGTCTGTTCATATCTATCTATCTATCTATCTCGGACTGTTCATATCTATCTATCTATCTTGGTCTGTTCATATCTATTTCGCTCTGTTTTTAATATCTATCTATCTATCTTGGTCTGTTCATATCTATCTATCTATCTATCTATCTATCTATCTATCTATCTCGGTCTGTTCATATCTATCTATCTATCTCGGCCTGTTCATATCTATCTATCTATCTATCTTGGTCTGTTCATATCTATCTATCTCGGTCTGTTCATATCTATCTATCTATCTATCTATCTATCTATCTATCTATCTATCTATCTATCTCTGATGAAAAACATCGATATCAGCAATATTTAGCTTATTGTCCATTCAAAGAACAACTGCTCCTTATGATGAAACATAAGGCGGGTCGCAATACTAAAACAATAAAGGTAATTTTTATTAAAGTTACCGCATGCACCCCCCCCCAAAAAAAACATACACATAATCATCTACCTTAGAAATGGAGCCAGCGAAAGCAGCTGATCGGAGCAGTTACCGTGAAAGTATTTGTAAAAAAGACCGAGGGAGGCGATGGCAGGTCTGCGAGAGAGAGCAATTGCAGACGAGATGCCAGATCAAGGCCAATTATATTGCATATCTGTCTCTGGATTTTCTCAAGGTCCTTGATAAAATCCAGAAACGGATATGCAATGTAATTGTCCCTGATCTGGCATCTCGTCTGCAGTCGCTCTCTCACAGACGTGCCGTCGTCTCTCTCAGTCTTTTTAACAAATACTTTCATGGCAACTGCTGGGATGAGCTGCTTTCGCTGGTTCCCAGACTTCATGAATTTAAGCGTTCAACTAGGCTGGCAACTCGCTCTCACCCTTTCACTGTCGAAACTGTTAACCGGCTCTTCTACTCCAATAGCTTCATGTCTCGCAACTCTTCCCTGTGGAACTCCCTCCCTTTTCTCCTGTTTCCCTGATAGCCTTAATCTCCAACTATTCAAATGTAATTTTAATCGACGTCTTTAGATGCCTTGATCTATCCCCTATCCTTCTCTTCATCCTTTCCTCTATCACTCCTCTTTGCTCTGTTCTCCGACTCTCTGTAACCCCTTGCGTGCTAGTGGCTTCCTGCCTTGCTTGGGGTGAAACGCTTAAAAAAAAAATTATTCATTGCTTATACAAAAATATCTTTGGAGAAGTATATTTATTCTTTAAAGAAAAATAATTATCATCCACATTTCCTGTTTTTGAAACAAAATATATTTGGACGTATGATCTTCCTTAGAGAAAATCGACAATGGTTTAAATGCTGACAGGTTTACCCACAAGGAAAAGTCTCAAAATTTAAAATTGTTCTTAATTTGTGTTTATGTATGTGGTTTTGCATGAGAGTGTGTGAGTGAACAAGTAAGGACGAAACAAAACAAGCAGCTATTTACATTGTTCGAACTGTTTTCCTCATCTTCATTGCCATATCCATGACGTTTCGGTCGTTTACGTTCTGGTATTCTTCAGGTGCAACCAAAAAAGATATGGCACGTGGAACTAACCTAGTGGCCGAAATAAAAGGTTCAGTTTGAAATTCCAAACCCCTGAAGAAGGCCGGAACGTACAACGGTCGAAGCGTCGACGATATGGCAACGCAGATAAGGACAACAGTCCGAATAATGTAAATAGTTTAAATAATTACAATATCTCATTACAGAAATATAGACAGAAGAAGTCCGGACCGCACAACGCTGACTATGGGAACGCTGAAACGTCATGAATATAGCAAGAAAGAAGAGGACAACAGTCCGAAAAATGTAAATAGTGCAATTAATTAAAATACTTCATCTCAGAAATATAAACAGATGAAGGTCGACCAGTACAATACCACAACGTCGTGAGAAAGGCAATAAAAATGAGAACATCAGTCCGAACAATGTAATGAGTGTAAATAATTATAATACCTCATTTGAGAAATAGAAACAGATTATTTTCCATTAGTCATGTCATTCAGAAAGTCAATCGGATCATATGAAATCTGCTGGATGTGTTTTGCCCTTGACTGGATTAGACTTTGCTGAAGCATCTGAATTTTAAAAGCCTTCTTATTTTGTGTACTGTGTAGCTTCAGGATGTGGATTATCGTGACTCTCCACAGCTTCCTATGGTTTAGCAAGGCTAAACAGAAACAAGCACGGAATCATTGCTTTTCAAAGCATTTAAATCGACTTAATAATAAATTGATTTTATTTGTATAAGAAGCAAGTAGTTCATTTTCAGAGTGTAAGAAGAGTATATATCATATATGTTCTTCGATGATGTTTATGAATATCTAAAGAGTATTTTACACTCCTAGCCATCCAGTCTTTTAATGAGTATCTCGTGTATCTAACTGTTAAGGGGTCCACCCCTTTTTCATACAAGAGGACTCGACCAGTGTGTATTTGTACTGCTGCCGTTGAATACCCGAGAGATAGAGTAATAGAGAGAGTGAGAGTGTGAGGTAACCGCTTTGTAGGAGTCACAGTTGCGAGCACGTAGACTCAGAAGGAAGTCATACTTCGATACGGAATTTCCCAGACTGTATATATATATATATATATATTATTATTATTATTATTGCTACTAACCGCATTTCTGGATCTACTAACCGTATTACCAATTGTATTATTACATCAATACATTTATTTGCTATCTTTCATTCCTGCGTTTGTCATTTATTTGAGACCGGATTTCATCTCGGAATCCACAACACTAACATTTACGATTATTTGCAGGGAATTACTCATACCCAGCCATTACGGTTTTTTAAAGAGTAGTTTCATGCCTGGGTTCCTGCTTGTTTGAATAGTGTTATGTCAAAAGACATTTACTCACCTCATTATCATAAGTGGACTGATCCATTCATAATAAGTAGTCCCGGGTAATTGTCTAGAAGGAAAAAAGAATATAATGCAATTACAGTGAGTTGTCTAGCTGAGTAATGAATAATACTATCACGATTGATTCTGACGAGTTATGTGTTGTGTCTTGCCAGACCCCACATCACAACAAATACTATGCATATTTCCTAGTTGTCCTAGGTATTTGATGAATATTTGTCATGTCTTGTCTTTTCAGGTATGTAAAGAATATTTCGTATATCTGCTATTTGAAACGTTTTTTTTTTCATGCCACTGTTTTCTTGGTATGTGAAAATAATTTCTCTTATCTGGTGTTTATAGAGATTTAAAGTGAATTTCTCATACCTGTTAATTCTGAGTATTGTTTTCCTTGGTTTTAGAAGAGTATTTATTCTTTCTTGATTTTTTTCTGGTTTTTTGAAGAGCAATTCTCATCTCCAATACCGTATCTTTATCTGTTAACCCATTAATACCCACAGCCGCCCAAAAAAGTCGGTAGGCATTGATAGATTATATATACACATCTATCATTAATAAGTATTATTTTTATAAATCTATAACACCTGGATACATTTTTTGGAAATGTTGCAAGCAAGGCAATAGCTAATGTTAAACAATTGTATAGCGCTGAATTCGAATATCATCATCATTTTTCTCAGTTAGCTCTAGTTTTCTTGCTTCAGATGACGGCCCAAAACAGGAAAATTGCTTATTTTAAGTCATTAGTCTGAGGCACGGTGGAGTAATGGATAGTGGCTCGGATTGAGTTCGAGTTCGAATTCCAGTCGAATCCATTACATTCACTTACGTGCTAATATCCTTGAGAAAGATATGAATCCTCTTTTTCTCTCCCTAGCTATGGTTCTATAAGGCTCTATAAACTTGGATGACAACTGGTCTACTGCAGAAAGAAATGACAAGTTACTGCTGGAAAAATATGCTTCGTCATTCATGTATCGAAAGATACATGATCGCCTGAGCGTGTATCACGCATGGCACATAACTGACTGAGAGAAGAAGAAAAGTTAAAAAAAAGAAGTACAACCACGGTAAGAACATTCACTTTTTTTTTATTTTCGCGTATGACTAAACAGTATTAAACCGACATGAATGTCCGAGAAATTTTCATAGAAAATATTCGTCCTCCGAATTATAACTTATAAAGTTTATTACTATAAAAAGAGCATTTACTTAAATATTTGTATCTATAAAAAGAATGTTAAACATAAAAATGTCTTAAAATAATTGACGGAATTTGTCCATTTCATAATATATATATACAGGGTGGGGCAGAGCAACTTGCTTATTTGGAATATCAATTAAAACACAAGTAATGCAGGTATACATGAAATTCTTTGAACTGCAACTAGTTCAACATTTAAATTTTATTTTTTACCAGTTTTAAAGATGATATCAGTAAGATGGCGTCCATTCTTCTCTATACACCGAGTCAATGTTTTGGGTTGACCTTGCTGTTCGTGGGAGGCCAGGTTTCTTTTTCTTTACATCACCCGTTTCCCTGAAGTTGTTTACCCATGAAACAATCGACTGCCGGCCAGGAACACGACCACGGGGGGAAATATTGAAATGTCTACGGAATGCACGTTGCGTTGCGACGATTGAGCGACCGCTTGAAAAAAATGCCTCAACAGCGAAAGCGCGTTCCAACTTCGTCCACTCCATGATGGTCACTGGGTCCCTGAAAAATAAACAAAAAATAAATAATGCACGTTAACCAAACTTTAGGCCCCACCCTCTCAAATAAGTCCATCCCTACCATCCTTGGAGCAACCATCGCTTTAGGGCGCCAAATTTAAATAAGCAAGTTGCTCTGCCCCACCCTATATATATATATACATATATACAAAATGGAAGGTTTTCTACGTGTGCTCATAATAACTTCCACAGGGAGACCTCCAACAACCAACAACATTCTTTGGAAGAGTAAGTGTCTGTTGTTTGTTTATTCCTCGCATCATTAAAATAGAACACAGTTGTGTTTGAAAATTATTCGTGCTTCATTTCAGCCAAAAGGTTAACATGGATTTAATGACAATTTTATTGACAATATTGGTACGATTTTGTTGGCGTTTTATCCTTCAAATTTCATTAACCTGTCTATTAAATCTATCTACCCTCACTCTCTTTCTCTCTCTCTCTCTCTCTCACTATATATATATATATATATATATATATATATATATATATATATATATATATATATATATATATATATATATATATATATATATATATATATATATATATATATATAAGTGTAAATGGATATAAAAGAAATTTTGAAAAAAGCAAAAACAAAAAATCCGACATAAATTCGTCTTATTCATGAACAGATATTCAGAACAGAGAGAGATCAAAATGGAAATCTGTTATCTGTTCTGAATAAGACTTGTGTTTTTATGTCCATCGTATTTGTCATATTGAACTGAATTGTATTTTGATGAATATTGTC